AGAACAAGGATGAATGTATACTGAATCGCTCATTATGCTCGGTATTTATTAGATTCGAAATTATATAATCTCAGTATTCGAGTCTAATGACATAAATCTAAATCCATTGCCCTGAAACTAGTCCATCCAATATTGTTAATACTAAGGCCTAACACAAGAACGTGATGAATTGATAATCCAAAAATAGTTCAAGTAAATTCCGCCTTGTCGGCTCCTTGCTTAAGAAAGGTACATCGTTTATTAAGATCAAGGCTAAGAAAGCCGATTTATTGTTAGGTTTTAGCTATATAATGAATTCAAGCCTGTCATCCCTCTTGAGGCACATTCCTAAGCCCCATAAATTTTACAACCATGGAAGCGAATTCTAAGTAATCATCCGTACAACCCAAGCAGTGTATGTTTTACGATTCATTAAGAATCTCATTCTGTGGTTTATCCAGGCTTAAAATGTGAAAAGTGACTTCAAATCGTGCTGAAATTATATATCGCATAAAAACTGAAATGAGGGAAATTAGTGTCATGGTCAAAATCTTATTAAGCCCATAATCTTCGACCATCCGCGTTCCAATGGAGAGAACTCTTCAGGGCTTGTACAGCTCAATCTACCAATAGACAAGCGTGCAACGAAAATATATTACAATAAAACAATAAAGCTCACCTGTCGATTCTGTCCTTTAGAATGCATGCGTTCTTAATTCTCAAGGCTAGGCGAATATCGTTTGTCATTATTGTAATCAGGAATTTAGTTTAGTTAGATAATCTACCTCCTACTAGTCCTTCATCACCTCAAACGAAATAAGGCAAATACATCTCATATAGATATTCGACAATGTAACAAAAGTGAAATTGCAACTATCAGTTAATGCGAAATAAGGCTGGTGAACCGTTAATCATTCCGTCAGGTAAGCAGTTAATGGATAATTTACTAAATATTAATTGAATGCTTAGATTTGAGGTATATTTCAAGTATACAATATATATTAAGGTTGGTATTTAACAAAGGCAAATAGTAGTTTATTTTAAGTACCTTTGGTAAAACTAGTTCTAGTGATGTCCCTTCCTCGTAAGCTATATAAGAAATTCCAATAAATTTCTCAACAAACTCAGATCATCAAATATATTCTTTATTGGTTTTATTAGTTAGTATCATATTATACCCATAGATTACAAAACCTACTAGTAAATATTCGTTCGTTTCTATATTGTTCTAATAAAAGAAAAGCATTAAAAAGTGTATAGTGAATGATGCTCACGCTTTAGCTCATTTGTGTCTACACCAGAGTCTACATCTGTGTAGGCACATGGTGAAGTGGTAATCGTTGTGTCTAAATCAGCAGCAAGTCCATCAAAACCAGTCGGCCTAGTCATATCATACGGTGCATTTGCAGTACAGTCCATGCCGATCGAGCTTGTCTCCTCTGTCATCGCCATTAATTCAGAATAAGCTAAGATGCATCCAGCAGAATAATCAGGTCCCAGCTTTCCTAGCAAAGAGGAAGCCGTTCCAGATAAGTTAGCCAGGCCAACAGAAGACGGAGTATGCCCAGCACTCTCGCCGCTTGATCCAACTTTGCCATTACCAAAGTCAGGAGCTAGCCGCTGGCAACAGGAAGTCTTTAAGTGTGGCCGGCGTGGCTGGACAGTTGCTCTAGTGCAGCATCCACTACTGCTGCCAAGGCCAGAAGAGGATGAGGAGCAAGATGAGGACGAGGAAGAGGAAGAGGCTGGCAACATAACGCCTAAGCCACTGTCGCCACTACTGCCACTGTCATATGCAGGCTCGGAAGTCAAGTGTAGTGGCCGATGTAGAAAGTGCCCACTGGCGTTTGGCAAGACCTGAGTGTGCTGAGCACGGAAGGTATATCCAGCAGAAGCAATTCCTGCGGGTACACTTGCCCCATTGCTGGATGAGCGGATTGCGACGCCAGTACCAGTAGATCTAGGAGCCGTGTCGACGACCGTTACTTGCCCGGCTTGCTTCTGATGTGGATATTGACTGGAGTAACGGATTTGCCCAGTACAATGCGAGTCACCACTAGAAGGCTGTCGATGAGGATGAGAGCGCGATGTTTGTTGTTGTTGTTGATGTAGTGGTAGTGATGGTTGAGGTGGAGGTGGGAGCGATGATAGTTGTGATGATGTGTGTGATAATTGCATCTGTGTTTGCTCCTGTTGGCTGGAGTATTGGAAGTGCATGTGTTGAGTGTACTGGTGGTGCAAAGGAGTTGCGTCTAAGTCAACGTTTCTAGGATAAGTTTTTGATACGTAGGTGAAATCGCCATTAGGCCTTCTTATAGAAGTTGACTTCAAAGAAGTGCCAGTCCGTCCAACGGAAGAGATATTATTCGTTTCCGAGTCCGATTCCTGGGACCATTTATGACTGGAACAATCAGTGACGTCAGTAACAACTGGTTGTCTGGAATGTTGTTGAGATCGGTCTGAGGCACCATTCTGATCAAGCGAATTATAGCGCTTTCCTGGTTTAGCATCATCAGTCTGGATGACTGTCTGATCAGTAACGAGGGTGGGGGGGGAATGTGGCCGTGGATGTCGAGGGGTTCCAGAAGAAACAAGAGCTGGCAAGGCCTGAGATTCAGACTAAAAAATGAAGAGGCATAGAGATTGTTGATGCAATTTTAGACTATTGTTTGAACTAGCATAGTGTAGGAAGGTTTTATGTGATTCATCATGAAAATTAATGTATAAAAAATACTTGAATAAAAACATAAAGGTATGATATTCTAGGAATCTAGTTCAATTATGGAGAATATTCATTATTTTTTGCATCAATAATTCAACTAAGCTGATAGCAATAATACCCCTGTATAGAAAATATAACCTTAAATATAAAAGCGTAAAATAGGCAGAGAAACGAAAATGGTGGAACGCCCGTATTTCGCAAGGATAATAAAACAATATTCTTCGTTCCAAAGTAGGTTCTCGAGACTACTATTCGATCTGAAATAATAGCTGTATTCACAAAACTTCATTACGGAGACAAATGACTTTTAGCTTACGATATATGTATGCCTCATGTTTCCAATAAATCTGGTATAGCCTTGCTTCCCCAAAAGGGAACTGAAATTTGAACTTGGCCTAGGTTACATCAGTACCCCCAGCTGGACTTGAGCCCTGGTAGCGTAGTGTTGTATATAATTTTAACACGCTATCCACTATGCCACAATGACACGAGTGGCCTTGGGTCACAGGACAGAAGTGAATTTTAAGAAAACCTAGGTCTCTCCCATATCACATCTCTATGGGGGAGTGTTGAAGAAGCAAAGTTAGAGTTACTATATAAATCGAATAGATTACTTATTTTTGAGTTGGAAAACTCAACGACCAGTCCTTAATCACCTTAAACGCCTCTTATATCAGAGCTATTGATAGTCTCAAAAGCCTAGACAATAAAGTAATATAGTCGATTACGATAGCAAATACAATTTTGCTTATTAGACAATCCTAACATATAAGTGTAGTATGGGAAAGGTCTAGGTTTACTTAAGATCCATTTCTATCCTGTGAAACAATGGTAATCATTTTAGTGTGGCGTATTGGTTGGCATGCCGAGACCGTACATTGCAGCCGCTGTGGTTACTGAAGATCTAGGTCAAAATTGCATTCCACTTTAAATGAGAATAAGTTTCGAGAAGCAAGGCTATTTGAAATTCAATTTAAAATTGAAACCTGTTCATATCATTGTATAAAAATTCAAATACTGGTACTTCATCACCTTAAACGGAGTAGAGTGATTACAGCTCTTATAATATAAGCACATTCCTAAAGGCGTTAATATACTTCCACGATCAGTTAATATTAAGTATATATGAAGATTAGAGAAACTAGCGTGTGCTATATAGCTTTAAAAAAAGAATACAACCAATACGAAAACAGAATACAAGTTGTAAGAATGACAAAGCATTCTTTATTAAATATGCTTCGAGTAGAAATGGTCTAAGGCCGAAAAGTGGATATAATATGGAGGAAAGCCGGTTTGTAGGACGAGGACTGTTAGAATGCTGTAAATTATTAAGATAAACCATTAAGCGTAAAGTTTTACAATGACCCAAATAGTTTGAGATAAATGCATTAGTCATTCCGAACGAAATATTGTGGCCATACGCAATTTATCTAAGTTATAATTGTAATTTCATCTAAATGAAACAAAGGCTGCACTTAACTCTATGTTGTAGCCTTAGCCTTATTTTAACAGTCTAAAATGATAAGATATAAAAGAAGACAGTCAAGATAATAGAAAAGCGGAGTATCAAGTAATCAATGATCTGGGTCAGGTGTGCCTTACCGGTTTGGCCCAAGGTGCGCGAAGAGAGTCTCGCTTCATGCTAGTGGCCGGGAAAAGCGGTGGTGTAAGATGCGAAGTTGGTAACGAATTTATTTGCGAAGTCACGTCGTCAAATACTTTTGTAGGCGTTTGATTTCGACTGGCGTTATCCAGAGATTGACGATGGCGCTGGTTAAAATATAATCAGATAAGAATATTTAGGAATCAGTCATTAAGTAAATGATAAAGAATACCTAAGTTTAATCATAATGTGTATTCATTAAAATTAAAATGGGCACGAGTAAGAAAGATTAATAATTTGGCAGCTATAGAAAAATACAGAGTTTTGGGATTTCGATAAGATAAGATTGTAGGGGAGACTTTAATTTCGTATTAAAGTGCATGAAGAAGAGATCCGTAGGTTAATCTCACCAGAAGACGACGGTTGATTCTCATTATACTGCAGCCATTTAGCTTTAATACGGCGTACAGTATGACGCAGTAAATCAGACATAGTTCTTTGTTTCGGGTGAAAACGGGCTGAGCCGTCTTCTCCTAATGAGATCGATCTTCGAATCTCTCCTTCATGCACTTTCATATAAAATAAAGGTCTCCGAAGCTATTTTGTAAATGATGGATTTTTGCTCTGATGATGTCCATCACAATACAGAGGAAAGCTTAGCACAGATTTGTTAGGGTCACAGTACAATGAGCCGAGGACTTCTTAATACGATCAGTCATCATTCTGTGGCAATCCTCTTTCGGTTTTCATTAAGACCCCTTCCTTCCAAAAAACTTTCCTTAGCCTTTACAAGCCTAATCGGTAGCTCTGATTGTAAGTATTTATCAAAAAACGAAGAAGTTTGAATTTAATAAGATCTTTAAAAATATGGACATTCATAAGAAAATATGATGGGAATTTGGTAATTTGAGACACTAAACGCTTAATCAATGGCTTGAACGGTTGGAGTGGTCGTGAAAAGATGATACTTGAGGAAATGGAATAAAAATATTTTAAAGTGAAGAGGCTATCTATATATCATGTAAGACTGAGCGTACATAGTCTAAATTGTTGGATGATGAAGCGGGATACGAGTCAAGAGAGACGGGCTCTCGAAAATTAGTGGGATTTAAAGCAAAACACACAACTAAGGTAGATATTTCAAGTTATACTGTTTTCTCTTGTCTAACTTTTTCTAGCTCCAAGGAATGTTTTTCCATCCATCCTATTTGACAATATTCCAAAATAACTATCAATAAACCCTCGTAGATAATTATTCTTAACCAGAACTCTCAGTAGTATTCTATTTTCCCGGCCCCGATGGTTAAAATCTTCTAGACACAGGCGCCTTACAACATAAACTAGAAATATTGTCAAATAGGATTGAGGGAAATACATTTTTGGGGTTAGATATAATGTTACACGACTCTACCAGAATCCTTATGCTGACATCGTGTAAGCTTTCAAAGAAGATAGACGGATTACTAAGGTGGGACATCAGGGTATTTTATAAAGAGAAAATAGTTCTTTCCTCAGTAATTCCATCTTATAGATAATCGTATGACCTTCCATCTAGATCAGACTGTTACAAAATTTTGTTTCCATGCGGTAGTGTCTAATTGGGAGAGACCTATTATCTGAACACAAAACTGCCTGCAAAAGTATGTGGGCCCAAAAATCGGAATCGGCCCAACACATGGTTCGTACAGGACACCAGATTGATTGAACTGATGCTAAACGACTAGCTAGATATGGGGATTATACTAGTAAAGGAAAGATTAAGGAGATAAAAATAAACAAAATAGCCAACACTCTGAATAGAGGGAATACGTGTAGAAAACTAAATTGAAACTGGTTGTCACTGTTGAATAAGATAAGAGTGAGAGGGGAGGTCTCATCATCACCCCGAATGGAATTTGAACCAGTGAAGTGCAGCGTATAGCCTCGATATATTAACCAATACGCCATTGCCACGAATACCCCTGGATTACTTTTTGGAAAGCAAAGCTATGTGAAACTCAATGCAAACATGAGGCTTATTCATCTCAATGATGGAAAAGTGATTTATCATCACCTTAAACGAAACAGAGTGAATACAGCTCTTATAACAGTCGCGAAAACCTACTTAAAAAACGCTAAATAAATAAATCTAAATGGACCTCAGCAAGTATTTAGATAAGATTTACAACTAGTATATACTTCAAAAATATCATAAATTCAATTATAAAGTAATCGAAACTGCAAAGATTTGGCCTTAGTTTAATGGTTGTAAAATTAAGTGTAGTAGCCCTCGATGGATCGTCCTCCGATCTTAAGGAACCTTCGCATCATATCTTAGACAGCAGCATAGCAAAACTACTCTTTAGTAAGCTCAAATCAATAAGAATATTTGGCTGAGATATTATAATCGAAATATTGCCATTGTTGGTTGGTTTGTGGTAAATAATAGCTAAGCTCTCTGATGATGTCTGCCGCATGACAGACGAATTTTGGTCAATGGATATTGCCAGTAAGATCTTAGCACTTGAATAAAGACATATAGTTTCAAGGCCGAGTTACGAATATCTTAAATCACACTTTATATACGAAATTAAAGGTACAGTGTAATGCCTTTTCTTAACCCTATTAATAGATCTAAATTAACTTGAAAAAAATACGTTCACGTACTTACTAAAGAATTATATCAAATATCGATGGGTTGGGAGAACAAACTAGAGCTAACTAAAACCAACTAGTTTCCCTGCACTTAAACTGGATTAAAATCTCAAAATTAGTGTTCACTTAAGGAATAAAGACAAACGGTTTCGTTCTAGGAAAGTAGGCCAATGAAAATCAGAATTTAAACTTGATTTCTGCCATAATTTCATCTGTAACGATTAAGATTAGTGAATAAAAAATTTTATGTCCGATGAAGAAGTGTGAACGTATTGGAAAAAAACGACTAAAATGTGGTTCATTTAAGCCG